GCCAGCCGCCTCCGCCCCCGGCGCTGCTTTGCCGTGGAGCCCGTGGCCGCCCTTGGCTCGCTGACGCGAGGTCTAGTTTTTGGAGATGCTGCAACTCCCGGGGAGACTGGTGGCACCTGCCGATGCTCGGGGCATCTGAAAGTTAGGCTCCAAACGGTTAAAATCCAGCAGTTGCTTTGAGTCCAGGCTGTTACTGCTGGTGGAGCCAAGCTAGACAGAAACTTTGAGCAGCGAGGCCTCGTGGAGACTGATGTTGGCTGGAGCGCAAGATTTCGGCATCAGGAAAAATTCTGAGGTTTCTTTATTGTTCTTTATTCCATATTTTTGGGGGAAAAAAAAACAAGATCTTTCAGAGAGTTCTGTGGAAAATTAGAGAGAGAGAGAGATCGTGCCACCCAGATAGTCCAGGCAGTTGCTGGGATGCAGGAAACCTCTGCTCATGTCTTTTTGGGTTTTCCAACAGCGATATGAATTTGGCTTTCCCTTATCCCAGCAGAGGGAGGCACCATCTCTTTTTCCCTTTCTTCCTGCCCTGAACCAACTTTTACAAGCTGGCATTTCCTCCTGGAGAGCATCCCGTCGGAGGTGCCCAAGGAGCTCAGGCAAAAGGGGTCCTTCTTCTCTCGCCTCCTCCGGCTCCGGTAGCTGTCAGGTGAGCTCGGGCTGCTTGCCGGCTCCTGCAGATCCACCCACGTGCAGCGCTTGCATTTATTACCTGTAACACCACCGCCCGGATGCCAGGGTAGCTAAGAGCTTGGCGGCAGGCGGGGGGGGGAAGCAGGCAGACATGGCAAATGGGGGTAAAAGCAGGGCAGCGAGCAGCGGGGTGGAGGGACATCCCGTTCAGTTCTCCAGCTGCTTTTCTCGCTGCAGCCGTGTGACTGCGAAGGGCTGTGCTGCAGCCTTTCCCGTCACTGCTTTTCCTCTCCGACCGCTCTCGTGTTTTTAGGGGCTTGACTCCAGCAGGGCCGGGTGCTGGCTTTCCCCTTCCGGCCTCAGCCTGGGGTGCGGGTGCGCTGAACTGGCGTTAGACTGGGCCGAGGGCGCGGCGGGGTCCCCGCAGCCCCGTCTCCCACCCTGCGCTCTTTACGCTAGCGCGCTGGGGAGGGAGAAGCTCGCGGATGCCAGCGGAGGGCAGGCGGTGTCACCTGTTGGGATCTGCTCCGGGGCCGACGAGAACCGGAGAGGGTGAAAAGCAGTGGAGCCAGGCAGGGTTGGAGGAGCCCGGGCCTGATCCTGGGAGCTGCAACGCACTTGACCTCTTATTTCCCCCTGTTCCCAGTTCCTACTCATTTAATGTAATTGCTGCGCTTGAAGGGCCTAGGGCTTGGCTCCAGCCCACGAGCCCGACCACTGGGTCGTAAGGGCCAAGAGGGACTCCTGGATGCTCTTAGTAGGAGAGAGCCTCCACCACCTGGGAGCAGGACGCGAGGTCTGAGTTCATCCTGCAGCACATGCGTGGGTATGAATATGTGCTGGTGGCTCTGCACGGCAGGGGGGGCTGGCTTGCTGAAACGAGTCTCACGTTCGCCGAGAGCGGTTTGCCAGGATTGTTTGGGAAAAACTTTCCTGTTGGCAGCAGAATGGAGGATCGAAGCATGAGTGAGAGGCAGAGCGGGTTTTCAGGAAGGCAGCAGCAGGGCTTGCTGGAGCAGGCCCTTCTCAGCTGCGTGGCACGGCAGGCGCCGGTAGTAAACTATTTGAGGGAGAGGAAATTAAGCAGCAGCTCTGCAGGTCGGTGGCTGCTGGAGAGCATGCTGCATCCTTCGCACCTGCTCTGGGCTCACCTGTGGTCCTGGCTGGCGGTTTGTCCCCCCAGACACCTGCCCTGCTGACTGCAGAGCGATTCTCACTGGAGCCCCGTCCTCGCAGTGGTAGGAGTCGGATCCTTCTTGTGCCGCGTTGCTCCTTGCGGGCTGCGAATTCCCTGTGTCTCTTTATAACGTTTATGTGGACCCGTTATAACAGAAATCAAGCTCCTTTGTCGTGTCGGTGTCCAAGGGACTCCCTGTGTGACACTCGGAAAGAATAATCTTGGCTATAGAGGTAGGGAGCAATGATGCACAAAAGGGCAAAGTGGCATGACCAAGGCGGTTGCAAAGTCTGCGGCAGAGCCAAGACCTTGCTCTCTGCTGCCAGACTCATGTCCTTGCCTGTTCTTGCAAGAAATGGTTTAGCAGGGGGCCAGCAAAACCCCTGCCCAGCCGCCCCAAAGGCTCGGCGGGCTTCTTCCCACCTCTCTGCAGGCCCGCGGCTCTACTTGGCAGCTAGTCCCCCAGGCAGCCCCTTCCAACCTCAAAGTGAAACCAAAAACAAAGCTCTTCTGTGCTTGATAAAGCAGGCTGCTGTCTCGCCCAAGGGAACTCTTTCAGCCAGCAATGAATATTGCTGACCTTTTGCAGCTGGGTCTCTGAAAAGGCAGAAATATGTGGGCAGCAGCCCCCAGCTGGAGGGAGGCTGCTGCTTGAAGTCTCCAAGGGCGAAGCTGAGCTCGTTCTCGTTTTTCAGGCCAAGATTCATCTGAGAGCAAGGAGAGCGGGTGAGATAACCCGGCAGAGGGAACCGGAGGATGAGAGTTGCAGGGTGATGTCCCCCGGTACAAACGTCAGGTCACACAGAGGGAGCAGCAGGGCTAGACTTTGCACTCTGTTTTGGGAGCGGATCCCTTGGAGATGGCAGAGGTCAGGGGCTTGCAGCTGGCTTGGTCACAAGGATGCCTCTGGAGGCATTGCAGAACGGCCGGGGGAAAGGAGGCTAAGGGAGTGCAATGTTGCGGGATGAGGATACGGAAGAGTTAACACAGCTGTACGAGGCCCTGGTGCGTGCTGCTTGGATCTCGTTGCTGGTGCTCAAGACGCATTAACTCAGCCTGGAACAGGTGCAGAGAAAAAGGGCTCGGAGGAGGCTCAGAGGGATGGAGAGCCTGTTATACGGGAGGCTATAAAAGCGCAGCGAAACAAAGGCGGAGAGGGGATGTGATTGCTGCCTATAAATACATCTGAGGGGTGAAGAGCAGGGAGGCAGAAGAACTATTTTAACTGGAGGACAGTGTTGGCGCAGGGACAAGGGGATGTGAGTTAATACTTGGCCAGTTTAGCCTGGGAGACTTATCTAGAGGCTCTGAAACTGCATCCTATGGGAGAAGGGTAGGAGAGCGTGAATTTGGGGCCATCATCTCTCTTCTAATGTGGAGCTGGATTGTGATAGGAAGGAGGATGTGGGGCTTGTCAAGGCAGGAGGCTGCGACTTTCTGATCCAGATACCCTGTCCTGGTATATCCTTTGGGAAGGGCTCTCTGTAGGCAGAGCTGTTTTCTCGTCTGCCCGATGCAGCACTCGACCCAGCATGAAGCAGGTGAAATCCAGCTGTCTCACCTAGATACCTTTTGTTGTTGATTGTGCCTCGAAAAAGAAAAAAAATCCAACCCTCCCTTCCCTGCTTGCTGCACGGATTAATTATAAAGCATCAATGCTTTAAGAAGGCTTTGGATCTGATCCCAAAAGCAGATTTAGGTTGCATTTTTACTTGGATACGATGCTAAGAATGGGTGCATCCTCTTAATCCGCACTTGCGTATCCGTTACCAAACACCTTGGGCCAGTCCAGAGGTGCCAAGACCCTTCTCTTAACATTTAGTCCAAGCAGAGTGGCAGTAGGCTGATATGAGGGAAATAAGGAGGCAGCTGTGTCTTGAAGGCTGAGATCAGGCACGTCTCCTTCCTCCTCCTCACTAGTCCCAGGAGATGTCAGCTCCTTTCTCTCCACATGTCTGGCAGTGAAATCTCTTCTCGACTTGCAGGAGGATTTCATCCCATAGAAGGGTGTCCGGTCATCCCTTGCTCATGCTGAGGTATCATGAGAAGTGCTTAGATACTGTTTATTCACTGAGATCTTATTCCGTGAGCCTTCACCTGCTCTTACAAGCTGCTTGTGGCACACGAAGGCTCAATGACAGGCAAGGCATTGCCTTGGTTGGTGCTGCAGCCTCGACGACGCTCCAACCGTCTCCTTTCCCAGCCTGTGTCCCCGCGGGCTGTGTCGTGGATGGCGAGTGAGCTGCTGTGATTACTCCAGCTCTGTTCACTTCTAGCTGATTACCTAGGGATAAAGGGCCAGGCTTGCTCTTGGGCGCCGCAGAGAACGGACACAGACCAGCTGGCTTTGCTGGGGCCGCTTTGATCTGCACCAGTTGAGCGTATGGCCACATGCTCAGCTGCAATGTTAACCCTTTCCCTGCTCAGTTCGTACTGCAGAGCTATATCTGCACGGAGCCCTTTCAGTGCTGGGTTACTTGGGCTAAACTGACTTGCTGTATAGGGGAGACTCAGTTGTTTTACCTCAATTTAGGGATAACTCCTTGAAGTCATGGCAGAAACTGGGATGGTTGCCACTGAGTATCCCACCCTCTCGAGGATGAAATCCTTTCTCCTCTGCACTCTGGGACAGGGAAGGCAAAGGCTACTGAAGCCTTTCTGTAGGATGAATTTGTTTTCAGCTGCTATTGCAGATCTTTGTGCTCCAAGGCTGTGCTGAGGATCCTTCTGCCTCGTGCTGGAGCTGTAACAGATGATTTCCCCTGCAATGCCGTGTGGTGGTACGCCTTCTGGGTATGCAGCATGTAGGTCAGAGAATTGACTCCTTTGGGCTTGATCCAGTCCTTCAGAGGGGGCTGGACCAGGCTTTTTACTTCCAGCCTGCTCAAACGTCCCATGTGCACCTTTCATGCGCTCTAGGGGGTATGTCCCAATTCGGTAACGCTTTGACTTGTTTTACCTCAAAGTACTCTCCAGCACAGAAATGCATTCCTTGCCCCTTGGTTTGTCCTTGTGTGGAGATGGCCAGTTCTGATCCTTCCATCCTTCTCCCACCTCGTTTTTGCTCTGTTGTCTCCTATGATTTCAATCCATTGTAAACCTTTCGCGCTGTTTGTTCACCATGGCTGGCCAGCAAATGACCTTGGAGGAAGCCTTCCCTTTGGGTTCGCAGTGTCCCTGCACTTGTGACATCCTGTTAAGCAGAGGAGCTGGGAGTGCACAAGTAAGGCTCTCAGTTTGCACTGGTACAGCAGGGGTAAGTGAACGTTAAAGGGATTTTCCTCATGCAAGACGTAAGTTTTTATAAGCCCAGGAAATGTCGAGTAAAGATCACCTGTGAGGCAATGCAAGTAGACTAAGGGAGAGAAGGGGCTATAAAGCATCCTAACAAACTCAACTCTGTCCTGAGCTGGGAGGCTGTAAAGCCTCCTGGGTGGCTCTGAAATGACACTTGGGAGATACCTTCTGGTCCCTCCTGCGTAGGGCCTTCCTTAGGCTATCGGCACATTGTTTCCCTGGAGCTGGAGCTCATCCTTATATAAGGGAGGTTGCAGCTGTGTTTTATTGCTTTGAGGTTTATACTAAAGTCTGGCAATAATTAATCAAATATGCCTGTGGCAGCCTAGTGTAAGGCTTCCCTTTTACCATCCGGAAAAGATACATATGCCATCATGTTGTACAGAATTCAAACACAGCAGAAGGCACCTTTCTCTGCTCATAGGTTGAAAAGGGCAAGGGCACGGCTTTTCTCTTGCCTGCAATAGTTTACCCAGCACTTAAACCAAAATGCCTTTCCTCCACTGTGGTGGTGGTGTTATTAACTGCCTTTTTCTTTAAAT